GAAGCAGAAGCAAACAGCAGAAATATACAGAGGATAACCACTCCAGAAAATAAAAACTGAAGCTGAAATAGAAAAAACTCCTATCAGCCAGAACACCCCAACCAAACCAGTGAAAACCCTAAACCACAACCACCACCCATCAGCCCACGGACTGCAGCCAGGCAAGTAACAGACACCAGCCACTTCCTACCGGCAGCAGCAAGGAGCAGCTTCAGAGCTGCCACGCTTTACAAGCAGACATGAGGATCAGTTTTCCAAATGCAGTCACCTGACCTTCTGCTGTATGCCTTTTCTGGAAAACTCACCCCTGTCCTTACCAAAGAGCCACACTGGGAAAGTAGATGGGATAAAGCACAATTCAATGCCATCAATGTACCAAAATATTACTCTGGGCAAAGGCAGGCAGAAGGGACTCATTACTACATTTCAATGATTACATTTGCTAAGGAACTGCTTGCCTATCACTCAAACTAAAAATAGATGCATCAGGTAAAAGCCTGCAAATAAAGGTAAATTACACAAGAGATACTTTGCTATGAAAAGTATTTTTACAAATGGGTGCTAACAGTTGGTCCAGAAAACAGGGAAGGTACAATGATCTCAATTCATAACTTCAGCTACAACTGGACGAATCAATAAGGCACCTGTAATTCCTCCCATCCCATTTCCCAAAATGCAACCTCTCTCCTGTTCTACTGCTTTGTAAAAATGAACATTATCAAATAGCCATTTAAGGCAAGCAAAAAATACAGTTGTTCAATACTCCCAAAATAATGTCCCTTTATGAATAAAAAAATCCAATTAAGTATGATAAATATCTAACTTGTAGCGTTCAGCATACTGAAAAGTTACAACACACTAACAAGGGGCCTGAAATATTCCTAAACCCAGCCATCTGACCTTTATTCTGATTTTCACATCAACTGGATTGAGTTTCAAGAAATACTGAATTACTAAATAGCCCATGATCCTTAAACTAGTTAATTATTTGTAAGACAAAGCACTCAATATCAATCAATAAACATCAACTAGAGAATTCCATTTCCAGTATCTGGATTTAGCAGGAACGATCAGTTCCCATACCAAGAGCATTACAATTACTTCTGCTGGAGTGAGAGTTCTCTGTAATCCCAAGTTTGCTCAGACCTGTTATGTCAGTTAACATTCAGTGTAACAGAACACACACACACACTGTTAAGCCGCTGTCTTCCCCCGTTTAATCTCACTGGCAATGTAAGGGCATGGCTGCAACATTTTGTCAACCTAAGAGTTGCTGTGTACAGTTGAACAGTGACAGGAAGGCAGCACAACTGGATTTAAAAGGAATTATTTTATATGAAATTATTTTACAATATATTTGATTATGAAATTTCAAAAAAGCTCGCTCTCCTTCTCCTCTACCACTATGGGTAAATCCTATAGATCCTGGGCAGACTTTGTACCAAGATGAAATATTCACTGCAGGACACTGAATTGCAGACTAGGTAAGACAGAGCCTATCATGCTTTTTCAAATTTTGAAAACAACACATATCAGAAGTTTATGCGAACTCATTACATGGTATTTCTTGATGGTGAACTGTGATTTGAGCATCAAATTACATTCCATAGGATTACTGCACTATAGAGGTGCACAGTATTTGCATTTGGTTTTACATGGCCATTTCACACCCTTGCCATCAGAGAGCTTTTCTACAATTGTGTGAACAATGTGGGCTGCTATCACTGCTTGCATAAAGGGTTCCTATTAAATTATCTAAGGGACACAATGTATACAGGCATTAACGTTTATGTCAGCTTTCTGTCTGGGTTTGAGATTTTTTTTTTTTGTTAATTAGGCACAAAAATGATGTATTTTCATGATAGTACAAACTCAAGAAATCCTTTAACTCATTCTGACCGTATCTTTACCAGCCAGAGTGAGCAAAAATCACAATTTCCACAGGTAACTTAAGCTCTTCATGCAGTACCAATATGAAATTTACATCTACATTGGTAAAAAAATGCAGCAAGGAAAAATGTTAATTGATAAAAATCAGATTATAGATTTGGCTTATAGGCAGAGTGCTCAAGAATACCAATGCATATATTTTCAGCAAAGACAAACTGGTTTTGGTTTATTTCACCAGGGATTCCTTTCCACTCTGAAGCAGGATGGACATTATTTTCATCTGAACAAATCCGGTCTTGGAGGTTATGCCAAGTTTATTCAGTCTCAAATCAATTTAAATGAGTGCAACATTGTTTAATTTTATTGTCATTTTTCCAATCTCTGGATACATAATACAAAATGTTCTGCAATCCAGAGCACAAAGGAAACTAATTGAATGTGGCTTGTAGTAACTAACACTGGAGCAATGCATTTAGTACTAAAAGAACAAAGAGCATAAAACAAGCATCTTAAGGCAGCGCTCTGATAGCCACATCACTTGAACTTCGCTAAAGATAAAAAGTTGCTTGAAAATATAAATATGAGGACAAGGAATCAGCATCTGTTCAAAAACCTTTAATTCAAACCAACTTCAGGTGAAGCTGCAGAGCAAGTGACACAACTATTCTATATTTTCTCCAATTTTAAGTTCTCAGAGCTTTTAAAAACCTGAAAGGGTTTGAAACCAATAACTGTGCATGAACTTGTGTGGGCTTTATTACTATTGAGAATTTCATTCATTTTTCAGCTGAGTTTTCTCCATAAATGACTTGAAAAGGCTTGAACTAAAAAAGCACACCCACTAATAGGTCGTGCTAATGCTTGCAAGCTTAAGCACAAACTATTGGACAAGAAACTCCACTAACAAACCTTGACTTCAGTGCCCATATGAAATTCAGTTAAGTCAAAGGCCTGCCATTCTTGTTTAATACGCTGTTCATTCAGCTACTGATGCTCCTATTTCAGTCAACTTTTCTGTACTAAATAACCTCACAAAGTTGCTCCAAGTGGTCAGTGACTTTTTCTCCTATTAGCCAGGTCACCTGATGAGAGTTCAACTCCCTTTTTTGCATTAAGAACTTTCATACATTCCTAGGCATATTCCTCCTAGTGCTACTAAGCATAAATCAGACACTGGACTTCACAAAACTTTAAAAAAGATCTGTGTAGTACATTCTTGGTTGGTTGTTTTTGGGTTGTTGTTTTTTTTTTGACAGTGATATTTGCCCAAGGATTTTTTTTTTAATTAAAAAAAAAAAGTCATGCAGACTGAAGAAAAGAAAAAAATGTGTAAAATGACAAGTCAAGTCTCTTTGGTGACATTCTGAGTGTTTTCCTCTACAAAATTCCTTTTCCTTGAGTAGGTCTTTTTAGTAAAAATGAAATCTGTAGGAATGAATACTAGACATCAGAAGAAACTATCCTAAGAAGACATTCTGAAGACTATTAATTTCAATTCTCACTGTATTTCTTGTATAACTCTGCAGTAACATTATACAGGTTTGCAACATCAGCTCTGACTTAAGTCAGTGTAACAGGATTGTCACACTGCACTGCTCTTTGATGCACCCTGCTTAAACTCCTCTCCAATAAGAAAATTGCTGCATTTTCTCTGCACCTAAGTGACCCACTAAAAGCCTCCCCAGATTTATCCTGCATTGTCTAATCAGTCCATTTATTCTGTCCTCAAATCACCAACCTTGCACAAGTCAGGTAGTAAAGAATTCTACAACAATCACATTAAGTTACCAAAACTCTGAAGCCCTTCGCCCTCCACTGTGAAGAATCTTCTCTTTAAAATTTATTATTCGAATAAAAAATTATGCTGAAACTTGTATTAAAAACCCTGTCAATTAATTAATGTGTTAATTCACTATTCTATACAACACGAAATGAGTTCTCACTCTAAAATCTGGTGCACATTCATTCTTCACATGCGTTTGAAAGAAAACTTCCATGACACAATCTTCATAATTAAATTATGCACTGAAAAAGGAGGCAGGAATCAGAATATCACTGCAAATGAGGTTTTGCTTAAAGGGCTAGAGTTGTACAGCACTGATGGAAACCTGTTTTGATAGATCATACCTGTGTTCTATTACGAATTGATTTGTCAGTTTACAGACCACACTACCACGACAGAGGCACTGCCAATAGGCTGAAGGTTACACACAAACCATGAGAAGAAAAAAAAACTTTCTACATTTCACACACGTTCCGTTTGTCAAGATGATGCTCATCACTGCAAGCTGGTAACACAAACTTTGTCAGAGTAACCACCAGATCCTGAAGCTGTTGGGAGCCCGAACACACGACTTTGGTACCTGAACTGGTAACTTTTCCCTCGCTGTCGTGAACCACCTCTGCGCCGGGAGCTCTACCACCGCTCCCGGAGGGCACGCCGGCCAGCGCCGCGGCGGCCCGGGGACTCGCCAGCCACAGGTACCGACACCAGGCGTTTCAGAGCCTGCCCGCTTCACGCCGAGAAGGGAGCGAAGGGGAGGGTGAGGAGCGCACGCTCCCCGTGTCCCAGGACGGCAGCACAGCCTTTCCCGGGCTGGCCGCCAGCAAAGGGGGCAGCGCGGGCGGGACCCGCACAGGGAGAGGCGCGGCGGAGCACAGGCGGCCTTGCGGGACCCGCCGGGGCGGGCGGCGGCAGGGCACGGGCGCCTGCGGGGCCACCCTCGAGCGACGGCACTGTCCCGGCATTACCTGGCTCCCGCGGCCGCGCTGCCGCCGGCCCGGCCCGGCCCCAGGCCCCGAGCGGCCGCCGCGGGCTGCCCAGCTCCTCCGCGCCTGGCAATGGCGGCGGCCCCGCTCCCCCTCCCCGCTCCGCGCTCACTGGCTGCGCCGCTTCATGTGACCGAACAAAACCCTCCTCGACACAGCCCTTTGTGTCCCGCCCGGCCGGGGCACCCGGAACGCCGCTCGTCGGCCCGGGGAGGTGGCGAGGGGCGCTTGAAGGGACGGAGAGAGGCGACAAGGCGGGCTGGAGAAGGAAGGGCCGGGGAGGGCAGCGCCTGCCGCGGCCGCTCGGCCTGCGCCACGCCGTCGCCGCCCCGGCCACTTACCGCGGCGCGGGCGGCTGCGGCCGAGCCGCGGTGCCGCACCAGGTCGGGGGCGGCCGCCATGTTCCCGATGCGGCAGGATGGGGCAGAGCCACCCGCTCCGCCACCCGCCGCTAGGGCGGGCGGCCGGCTCGGCCCGGCCCGGCCCGGATCGGGTGGGCTCCGCTCGGCCCCGGCCCGCGCCTCCCGGCCCGCGGGGCCCTGCGCCTCCCGCTCTCCCCCTTCACTCCGCGGCCGGGCGGGGGCGGCGGGGGCGCGATACGAAAAACTAAATCGTAACGGGAAACTCACGGGCTCGCCGGGCTGTGCGTCACGCCGGGGTTACGTCCTGCGCGCGCCGTCGTGACGTCATCGCGCAAGCCTCCTGACCGCCCCGCCGCTCCGCGCGCGGCTGCACGCACACGCACACACGCGCGCACGCGCCCCGCGGTGGGCGAAGGGCGCACGCGCACGGCATCCCCTCCCTGCCTCCGCAGGGAGCGCGCGCCCCCTCCCCGCCGCGGCAGGCGCGCGCCCTGCGCGGTGCCGCCCGCCCGGAGGGAATGTCCCCAGGCCCGGAGGGAATGTGCCCAGGCCCGGAGGGAATGTCCCCCCCCGGGCGGCTCCCCAAACGCGCCGGGCGCAGAGCGCCGCCCGCCCGGAGGGAATGTGCCCAGGCCCGGAGGGAATGTCCCCCCCCGGGCGGCTCCCCAAACGCGCTGGGCGCAGAGCGCCGCCCGCCCTGCGGGCTGCCCTTCCCACAGGCCTGGGAAAGCGGGTCAGGTGCGGCAGAATACGCGCCGGGGCGCTCCCGAGGCAGCGGGGGAGCAGAGTCAGGCCCAGGCCCAGGCCCAGGCGCAGGCCCAGGCCGCTGCGGACGGTGCCGGGGGCGCAGCGGGACTGCCCGGGGGGCGGGAAGCCGGCAGGTGACAAAAAGACACGTTCGGTACCATTCTCTCCCCAGACTAATGCTGCTGAAGAGAACCCCGGATCACAGAGGGAATTCTCCCGGAGTCAGCGGAGAGTGCTAAGTGCGCAGAGACTGCTTAGATGAGTTAATTTTTTCCCTTCAAACTTGCTGGGCCCGGGGGATTTCACACTCGAGTGAAAAGCTGATAAAGGCAACGTTAGAGGTGTGAGCGGTGGTCAGAGTGCTCGGGGACACGACAGATGTCAGGAGAGAGGAAGAGGAAAAACACTGCACACGTAATTCAAAAGGGGGAATAGGTAGAGCCAAGCACTGTCAATCATTCCAGCCTCTATTCCCAGAAAAGTACTGAAGCAAATAATCACACATCTTTAGTACATGATCGCTAATGAAGGGATAAGTTACAGCCAACACAGATTTGTCAAAAAAATCACATCGAGCCAAACTCATTCCAAGCTGTGACAGAATACAGGCCTTGGATGTGAGTAGTGCTTGGTCGGTTATGACTAAAGTCAGGTTTTTGACACCATCTCAGAGAAGTCTTAATTGAGCAAGCAAAAGACATAATGAAATTACTGCGGTGGTGCAAAATTACATCAGCAACATTTCATTGTGACAAATAGCAGGATAGCAAATACAGTTCCCTAGAGGTGGGTATGTCATGACTGTGGTCCCAAGTCTAATTATGTATGTGACAGAGTACAGTTTACATGGATTGGATTTGCCAACAATGCCAAACTGGCATTGCTGGAAGCATGTTACAGCACAAGAAACGAATTCAAAACCTTCCTGAAAAAACAGTTGCAGAAATATGATGCAATTGAATAAATACAAGTGCCAACTTCAACATTTAAGCAGGAAAATAACAATTGCACAATCGCAAGACTGGGAACAGATGAATAAACAGCAGGTTTACAGAAAAGGGGCTGGGGATCAGAGTAAATCAGAAACTGAACACGCATCAACAATGTCACACCGTTGTGAAAAAAGCTGCAATACAGAGAGATGCCTAAACAGAACTGTCATATCTAGGACATGGGAAGAATTCCTCATCTTTAACACTGGTGAAGCCTCATCTGCCTGTTCAGATTTGGCCTCTGCATTTCAAGAAAAATTTCTTTCAAAAACTTCCAGTAGAAGACAGTACAAGGAAGGGAGTGGAAAAAAGTCACCATTTTAAAAGATGTGACCCTAACTGAAAATAGGAATAGGTGGGGTTTTTAAGCCTAGAGAATAAAAACCATGCGGAGAAAAATCCATTGTTCACTGAGTGCACTGCAGACAAGGCTAAATGTAACAGCTTTAAACTGTACTGAGGAATTTCAGGTAGACATTAGGAACAGTTCTGTTGTGATATGGATAAGTAAAACTGACATATATTCTCTACAGGATCCTGGAAATGGTATTAGTATGGTTTTTAATATTAAGTTAAATTTCTATAAGGAAAATATAGAAGAATTTGACTGCTGTGAAGTAATGGAGGCACACTAGGTTATAATTGTTTTCAGCATAATTTTCTGTAGCTGCAGTTACTATCCTGATACCTAGATATCTGTTCTGATCCTATTTTTTTTGTGACAAAAGTGAATCCCAGAGGCATTTAAACATTTAATGTGTTGTCATGATCTTATGCACAGGTGTAGATATCCCCTTTGGGAGTCTTTGTCGTGTTACAATCAGTATAGTTGTGTGGCAGCATGTGTCACATGCTCAGCTAATTTGCTAATTTATAAACTTTATAAATCACTATAAATTCCACATTTAAAAATAGTGTGTGTGTTAGTGCTCATGTAACCATCGTCTATCACAGCTTTTGCTTTTCTTTGCTTTTTTTCTCCATGGTACCAGAAGCTAATTTTCCCCAAAATCCATTAAATTCAGGGGTTTCTCTGAAGCTTGCCAGTTAGGAGAAGGCAGTGTGAGTGGTTTATGTTGCTGGACTGAGACCCACCAAACTCAGCTCATTAGAGATGACTAAAAGACCATTAAATAGGCCAATTTTCAATCTCCACTGAGTTAGACTGAATTCAAACTGATAGCCCACAGGCAAAAGGCTATGAATTTCATTAACAGTACCCCAAAGCATTCAGTCCCCTAATGAGTGCTAATATTATTCTTCTGAGAATTAAGCTTGTTTTCTGAAAATATACATTTATAAAATCCAGTTCTAATTATTCTGGAGCTTGTAAGGACAGTTTTTCTACTGCTCTTAAACAAAAGAAACATTATCATCTTATGCAATCCACAGATTCCTTCTAAGATTCTTACATCACATGTGCTCCACACTAACCAAAATACAAACAATAAATATGTGAAAAAGCAAATATTAATACTACCTTTATGCTTCTTGCTTAAAATCATATATTTTATTGCATGCAATCATTTTAAGGTCATCACATGTATTTAAATATATTTTGTCCCACAGAAGGTAAGATTTAAGGAACAGCAATTCTTGCTTCAATTCTTCAATAACTGAAGGAAATCACCAAATTACATGAAAGTATTGGCTTATAGAAGATGCAATGTTTTATTACGTTTCACATCTATTTGTGAACAAGTAAAATGCTTAGCATAACAAAACCTGAACTTCAGTTCTAATGCTACCAAATCCCACAACTTATTAATAGTTTAAAGATATCAAGCAATTTTTTAATCTCTCAACCCTTGAACTAAGAAGCTCAATTCCATTAGCACTAGTGGATTCTTAAAAATGCTTATGATTCACATAAATCTATGGATCAAAAAATCCACATTTGGTGTGAATGAATAAAGAACATAAATGCAGTATTTCATTAAAATGGCAGTGTGGTAAAAGATTATGTCCAGTGATGTCAGAAGTCTTTTTTGATTTCTAATTCCACTTCTGCTGCGATTTGTAGTATGTGAAAAGTAATAGATGATCTTAAAGGTTGCCTGATGGATTAAGAAGACTTGGGAAACAGACCCAAAATGACACAAAATTGGGATTGCATTTCTGCACGAAATAGAAACTTTAGGACCAGTGAAGCATTCTAATGTCAGTGAAAGAACACATATGGCCAGTAAAGAACCACACAACAGGATCCTTGAAAATCAAGCCAGATACTGCACAGCTGGCTTTCTGTTTGCAGGAATTCTGGCTGTGGCCTGTGTTGTTTCTCCACCAATGCAGACAAGGCCTAATAATGGTTAAAACAGCATTTGAAAATCTCTTGAGAGAATGATGCTCCTACTTCCTCCTGATCTTCAACACGGCTATAAAAAGCTTAAACCAAGGCAGGTGCTTTCAAGTTAGCAGCAAAGTATGATTAACTGGAACCAATTTAGAAACTGTTTCTTCATATAAACGTTTTTGTAGCTGAAGCTGCAGAGGGAGAGTTGGAAAATGTTTAAGCTGAAGCATTTGGAATGAAAGAAGACTGCAAATGCCTCCTTGTACCACACAGCAAAATCCCAAATGCCTGGAGGGAAGAACTTTTTAATGATAATTTCTTACATTTATATAGCACCTTTAATTCCCTAGGACCCCAAGCACTTCATTAGCTCTATGCAAAAAGCTTCACCATGGAAATATAGCCACTATAGGCATCATTCCTTGAAAATTTCATATTCAGTTGACATATATTCTGGTGATTCTGTGTACAGCAAACAAAACAACAACAGATAAAATATTAAGCTATATTTGAGCTATATTTATCATTTTGAGTTATAGAACATTTTAAGGCTGTATGGTTTACAAAATGCTGTCATGTAAGGATACATCACATTTAGCCCATTAATTTTCCTTCTCCATTTACTATTTCAATCCCATCTTTATACCATAGCCCTTGGTAGAAAATTTTGTCTTCCATAACATTTTCAAAATTGAAATGATTCTTGATGTCTGAAATTCAGACAAAAATGGTCTCTATAGGTAAAAGTAGCATCTTTTATGAAATACACTACTACAGTCTGAAAAAGTAGAGTTTTTGAGTACCTGTGATATAGTGATGGGATTTTTTTAAGGTGAGATAGTTGTACTAATAAAATCCTTTATCTTTATGTATAAAGGTTGTCTTGTAGGTGCCTTTAGACCCTTGTAACTACAAAAACAATCACACAGAAACATGATATGAAAGATATCTGTGTTTCATTGCTCAACTTGCCACAGAGTTTTTCTTTACTCGCTACAGAGATGTTTCTGGTTTCTTGGCCTTTCTCACAATGACATATTGCTGATTTCACTAATGTCCATGAATTTAGGAACTCAATGTACTGGTTATTTCAACAAACAGTAATCAACATTATTTTAACTGAAATATTAGAAGAACTAATAAAATAATTATTTGGAGCAGTTTGATTTATTTCAACATTGTAAA